AAGATCCTCTCCACCTGATCTTCACCGACCAGGTCGACCACCAGGACCTCCTCGGTAGGGGTGATCATTTCAGCCCAGCCCGCCCTGAAAATTTTAGGCTTGCGCCTGGGTTTGGTGTTCAGGCCCGACCCAGGCCGAGGCCAGCCCACATATATTTAAACTTACACATTTTGTGTATAATGTATACATGTTATTTTACATTAGATTATATATTTTATATATAAATATTATAACATGACATGTATAATTTATATTATATGTAATATTTTATATTATACAATGTATAAAATAAGTTTATATGCATGTTATGCCATTTAATATAAAATATTATATATATGTAATGTTTTATATATGAAAGACATTGACCCAAAATTAGGCCCGACCCGGCCTAGGCCCATGTAGACCTGGGATAGGGCTTATGTTTCAGGCCCAGAACCTTGGCCGAGGCTGGGCCCAGGCCTAAGCTATATCCCTTATCATAAGTGCAAATCCCGACCTGGGCCCAACCCATGATCACCCCTATTCCTCAATAGCAGTCGGCGCAATAGGCTCGGGAGTCGAAGCCTAAGGTGCTTCCTAGTGGACTACCTTTCTCTTCTTCCTCTTCCTCATACTCTAAAGTAGCCCCACAATTAGAATGCTTGACATGTCTCTTGCACGAGAAGCTCAAGAGTTAGTCAAATTAATATGAAGTAAAGAAAGCAAACACCCAAACCTGAGACGAGGACCTACCCAGAGGACTCAACCCAGCCTGGATTAGCTTCTCCTCGAATAAGAAGTCGCTCAACATCAACTAGCGGTCCACAAGGTTCTGCATTTTGGCCTGCACCTGCTCGTTCAGATCTTCCCCGACGTCTTTCACCCCCTCTCTCCAGTGCATTGAGAAGGGCCACCCATCGGGCAACTCAAGGAAGAAGTACTTACTCTTCCAGGCTAGGACTTTAGAAGGAAAGCCATGCAGAAGCTTGTACTCAGGCTGGTACGACAGGTAGTAACTAACCTTGCCCAGGGTGCTAGAAAGGTTTTGCTTTATTTAGCAAAGGCCGACAAAGGTCTTAATATCTAGAGGAAGACCGGTATGGTAGCAAAGGGAGATTGTACCGGCCAAGGTACAGATGGAGTTCAGGTGCAACTTATCAAGGCTAACATTATAGTAATTCAAGACCTCGGGTATAAAAGGATGGAGCGGAAACTGGAGACTTGCCAATAGAGCCTCCTCGAAGACGGCAACCTCCTCCTCGTCATGCTCCCAAGGGAAAGCCTTAATAAGAGGGGAGTAGCCGAAGTGGTCAGGGATTCTATATCAACAATCCAAATCGAATAGATCCAACGGTTCCTAAGGAGTGCGGCTATTCGTATTTCGACAGTTAAGCACGTTTTTTATGTCCACGAATCTTAATCTTCATGTGACAACCGTGCGTGCTTGAGACACGACCTCACCTCCCATGGTCGAGCCAATTGAGTCGATTAGGTTTGAATCGTTGGTTGAACCACAACTGAACCGAAGACTGGGCCAAATCCTTTTAGCTCAAAGATACTCCTGCCCCGAGTTGACCATGTTGGGCTCGAGAGTGGGGGACAATTGATGAGAGATGATTTGGCCCATCCAATGATGTGACGACACGTGGAGTGGCGGAATGATGTGGACTTGGATAAGCCTTATCAGCTTACGCGGAGTCCATATTTGAGTGCGAAACTAACTCCAGACTAAATGGGCCAACGATCTTGGACATGCATCGTGAGGCCCACGACAACTTGCCTATATAAAAGCCTCGCCTCTAGCCTCACAAGGTATGCGCGACTTAGCTGTCAAATTCCCTTACAATTAAGCTCTCAGTTCTCTCAAATCTCTACATCGCTAACTTAAGCATCGTACTACCCACACCGGGTAAAGCACCCCGGTGTGGGTAGGTGACATCACTAGCCCAATGTTTGAGTTGTTCTGAGCTGTTTCCAATAGGGAGCTACCAATTTGCACTATATCATTCGGTTGAGCCACCTCAACCATGATCAAACAACTCCTTATTTAGAATTTTTGAATCCACAAGAAGAGTATTAATTGTTGGGATGAATGATAGATAGTAACATGTATGCCAGGATTGTGGTTTAATAAGGCAGGACATATCTTAGGCTGTTAGATGAAAGCGGAAAGACTAAAACCAAAGTTTCTTCCCATTCAGGATCATTTTAACGAGTAGGAATGCAATTTGGTCTGGTCAAAATTAGGGTTGAAAACATCAACAGTTTCAACATAACCGTGTAGCTTCAAGCATTAATATCGCATGAGATTATGTTATGGTAAAAGTTTATTAAGAAGGAATAACTCACAGATGCCCAAAATTCATGAACACTATTTTACTAGAGGGAAAATTCCCGATTAGTACCCTGTACTTTGGGCCTAGTGCCACTTTGTCCCCCAAACTTTAAAATGCAACAATTCAGTACCCAAACTTTCAAAACGTGACAATCCAATACCTGATGTTAACTAGCTGTTAACCGACTGTTATGTGGCATTTGAAAAAGACACAAATGCCCTTCAAGTATTATTTAATTTTCTTTATCAACCATCTAAACGTTGACAATAAAATAACAGTCCCAAATCCTTGCCTTTTCCATTCAAGAAAGTTGGAATCATGTTTGAGTGGGCATTTTGGTAACCCCAACTTTCTTGAATAGAAGAGACAAGGATTTGGGGCTGTTAATTTTTTGTCAATGTTTGGTTGGTTGATAAAGAAAATTAGATGACACTCGAAGGGCACTTATATCTTTTTCAAATGCCACTTAGCAGCTGATTAATAGCTAGTTAACAGCAAGTACTGGGTTATTGTCACATTTTGAAAGTTTGGGTATTAAACTATCGCATTTTAAAATTTGGGGGACCAAAGTGGCACTAAGCCCAAACTACAAGGTACTAATCGGGAATTTCCCTTTACTAAATTTGGTCTTCAATAGTTTTGAACTTTTGATCCTCCAAGAAGGATTGCATCATATCATCACATCATTACACAATTTGTAATCATCCGTTGAAGGCAAGTATAAGATGCAAATAGCATATCAGTCTCTTTTCCCAGATATCTTCTTTCTTTTCTCTTGATTTCTACCGTAGATGGGGTTGAAGGCAAGTATAAGATGTAAATAGCATATCAGCCTCTTTTCCCAGATATCTTCTTTCTTTTCTCTTGATTTCTATCGTAGGATGGGGTGATGGAGTAAGGAAATACAGACACAAGTAAGCATAGACTTGAACTATGGCTAAGGATGTGAATTGGACCGGATTTGGTCATTACAGATGGACCGATCCAATCTGATGAATACTTTGGACAGTTTTGAACCGGTCCGGACTGTCCGAATGGACTAGGTCCAAATCAATGCAAGGACCATTAAATCTGGACTGGTCCTTCCAAATATGGAGGTACAGAAACAAACACGTGTAATTGCAGGTTTTCCATGCTAAGTTTAGTGGACCTCACATGAAGAGTTTTTTTGGATGTGTTTGGATTAGGACCTGCTCTTTCGGTGGAACTTTGGAACCATTTATTTGATTTCTAAAATAGTAGGAATGCCAACCCACCCAGTCACCCACTCCCTCTTGCGGGTCTGGAATCTCTCTCTCTCTCTCACTATTTTTTTAGAAATTTGGAGAAGGATATTTAATAATGGAAAAATTAGCCTAATCGAGCCAATTAGGCTTCTTTCCAAGATGGCAGACTGTCGCTCCAATGTAAGATAACAAATGGCTAATTTGGACTGTCCTTTACTACATTAGCCATCAAGTTCACTGTCCTATGTAGCTCACGTTAGTAATTAGCCATCACACCGAGTTTATGGCCTGAAACTTGGAGATGAATATATAGCAGTAGAGAGAGAAATTAATACTTTGGAATATACAGCAGTAGAGAGAGAAATTAATACTTTGGAATATTTTTTGGATGTAGTCCTCCAAAGTCTAAACAAAAGCAGCAGCAGCGGTGAAAACAATATAATGTGGCAAGAGCATGACTGTGTGACTTAAATAACTTTCAATTATGGGAAAATATTCTTAGTATTTATGTTTTTTTTTTCTTTTCTGGCAAACAAGTCTTAGTATTTATGTAATGCTGTTTTGAATTTGTAGTAGGTGCATCATAACCGTAGTTTATTATCATTTCGTTTCATTAGGAATGCAAGTATTTTGAGACCAGGAACTAAATCCCTAAGGCTCTGTTTGGAAAGAGTAAGTACTATGTAGAATAGAGTGCAAAACCTGCCTAAATATTAATGCTGCGTTTTCAGTGTTTGGCTACTTTTTAAAACGAGATTCTTTGGAAAAAGTTTTTTTTTTTTTTTTTTTCAAGTGTTGTTGATCAGCTTATGTGAGAAGCTAAATGTTGTTTTCTTTCTTCACGTTTTCAAACGGGCTTTTGCTACAAAAAGCCTGTTTTTGAGCTTTTTCACCACGGGCTTTTATGCAAAAAATCCTGTTATTGAGCGACCCTATAAATTCAAAAGAGTTGAATAATCCAGCTTATTGGGAACTGTTTCTAACCTCCTTGAGCGATGACCAATTAATCGACATCTCCTCCCTACAAGGGGCCGCCCACATCACATCCCCGCCGTGTATTGGGAACATCTTCCCCAATACACGGCGGAGATGTGCTGTGGGGCGGCCCCTTGTGGGGAGGAGATGTGAACTCAATCAATTGCTGAATCTCGGAAATGTAAAGCCAGGCAGCCAGCAGGCCCACGATGGATGGCTGGAGCCTGGATGAGGCGAGGCTGCTCCAGCACTTTAAATCACTTTAAATTGAACTGAACTGAACGCCTTTCGCATTCATCATTTGTCTCCACAATTACTGTAACCGTACAGTCCCACAGTTTTTTTGGGTAAAGTACAGTCCCACCACAGTTCATGCATTCTTTCCATGTGATTTCGAGATCGACAGAGAGAGACAAACAACTTCCATTTGTATTTGTATGTGTATGTGCTTCTAGAGAGAACGAGAGAGAGAGAGAGAGAGAGAGAACTTCCATGTAACTTTGGTTTTATGTATCTATATTCCAACCAAGGCCTATGACCAAACACATTCCTGCTATGCTATCTCCTAGCTCCTATCTTCTGCAATTCCAAGGCTAGTCGGAGTCGTGTATCCAAACAACGGTATATAAATTTATAAAAGCATAAATAAAAATGTCAAGAACCAAACAGCGACTTAAGCTAACCTAAGCAAGCAAGTGAGACAGACAAACAAAACAAACAAGCGAAACGACTAAATTATGTACGTATATGATCGAGTGAAACAGGTCAGTCAGCGTTTCCTGGTCGCTGGCTCCTTCTGGGCATTAAAATACACAGCAGCCACCGGGAGGCCCAGCCCGTTTTGTGCGGCGAAATTGCGGGTGTTGAAACTGCCACGGGCATCTGGCGGTCGAGTCTCCTCCGTTATGGGTCCCTTCTGCTGAAACAGTGTGAAGACGTATCGGTGAATGCCGGTCGGAGGCCGAGGTCCCATGTAACTCACCAGCTCTTTCCCTGTATGTAAAATACTAAAATGTGTAAACCCCATTAACCCATCACAGTTCACAGAATTAGAAATTCATTCCCTCCCACCCACGTCCATTCGCATATTATGAACATTTTCCTTCTTTTCGCATGATTTACAATTAATCAAAAACATAATAAAGAAATAAAAAGGAATTCTGAGCACAAACCTTTCGTGGCATCTGAACCTTCTGCAATATCTACTACGATCCTGCAAGAACACAAAAGCATCTGGGGATTAAGAAAACAGCGTTGATATGTACAATTCCACCCTCAAATTGCTATTACTAAATAAAAACAGAGGAACTGACCAATGGAGCCATTCCCTCATCGTGGGTTCACTGGGACTTGGAGCATCAGGATCGGTCATCACCTACCCAAGAATTAAAAGAAAAAAAAAGAAAAATTAAAACAGATGAAAATGAAAAGAAAAAAGTACTGCATGTTTTGAGATCAGTAAATATATGAGGAAGGAAGAAAATTAAAGATTTTCTCACAAGAGTGTAGAGATTGTTAGAGAGACGAGAACCAGAGAGTTGAACTTTGGGCTTATTAGCTGCAGCAGAAGGCTTGATCTCGCAGCCATTGGCGACTTGTTTGGATCCGTAATGAACGGTGAATTCGAGGGTCGGAGAGAACATGTCGAGAACATCTCCGATCACCTTCCCGACGGCGAGTGGCTCTATGGACCGACGCATAGAGATCGCCGAGACGAAAGGCGAGAAAAGGTCAAGTGATGGAGGAGATGAGGAAGTGAGAAAAGGGCCGTTGGCGTGAGCTTTAGGTTTTCGATTATCAAGCGTAAAGCCAAGAAGAGGGAGAGAGGGGACGAGTAATTCCGAACCGAAGGAATTCCAAATGCAAACTTGCTATTGCTGTTTTTATGGGTATTTCTTAATTTCTGTGTGAGAGAGAGGTAGGAGGGAGCGCTACATGAGCGGCACGTTGCAAAGCCGCCTCGACGAGTGCCACATTGCTTGTGCCTCTCAAATTGGCAATGGGGACACGTATCTTCCATTTGATGGTACATCTATCCTCTGATCGCATTGTGACCGGACGGTTCTGCCTGTTGTGGGGACTGTGGGGGGACCATCTATTGCTCCACAAACCGACGAATATTTCCCTTTCCTTGTAATTATACTGATCAAAGTTCTCACTATCTCCTTATCAAAAAAAAAGGACGGACCGAAGGAACCGAAAAACCCTTCAACTTTTACGAAACTACGATACGATACAAAAATAATCCTCAGCGTCCCTACAACGTACTCCTACAGCACATTCCAACCGTGTCTTAGGAATATCTCCCGATGATATCTAATCATCTCCTCGGGAGATGTGCTGTGGGGGCGTTTCCTCGTCGGGCGCTGATGTAAAAACAAAGCGATACCTACTCTGAGCCGAAAGTTTGTTTTCTTTTATCTTATTTTTTGATAGTCGTAACTCCCAAGTCTCATCGTTTGTTTTACACGTGTCAACATAAGTGCTTATGATTATGACGATTATCGAGAATGAGATGCCCTCCAGGCTCCAGGCTCCAGCCCACCCAATCAACAGAAAAAACCCTTCACATGCAGTCTGGAACGGAACAGGGCGAGAGTAGATCTCGACTCCTCTTCACATGCACCCATTGCCACGTATGTCTTTTCATAAATGTTCCCTCGTGGTGATGTCTGACAAGCTTCTGTGTTAAAATCTCTAGGGTCCACTGTTCAGAGGTGGTCTAGGTTAATCAATTATGGGTTTGGGGCTATTCGTTTTCTCAATTGGCCCATGCACTGGCCAAATATACTATTTATCATCATGGGCAATGGGCCTACTCCAATCGGAAATCGTTTAGAGCCTAGAGGGGGAAACCAAGACCAAGAGACCATTCTAAGTTTTCTCTGGTTTTTCCAGTCTTAAAAGTTAAAAACACTGGTATGCATTATAACTATACTGTATCAGCGGCGTTAGGGGCAATAACTAGTCGATTTGATTAATGGGACTTAACCGATTTATAATTGTATTATTGCTAAGGCTCAGTTTGTGCTGTATTTTATATTGTTTTGTATGTATTTATATTTTATACATATTTGTATTTATATTCTTGGCACACTGAACCGCCTAAGAGAAAAGATTAGATCAATTGCTTCCTCAAGAGTCAAAGATGAAGATATAAACTAATGGAAAGAATGTTGCATTATGTCAAAAGTGAATTATTTGGATTGAAATATATTAGGAAAGGACAGGTTTGAGGAGGCCTAACAAACAGAGACGATCAACGATGGGAATACAATTTTTCACTTCACCTGGAGTTGTCGTATGTTAGATATTAAGCTATATGAAGCAAACATGTATGATCTAGGTGGGCCCGTTTAAGATTTCATTCCTCTCCTAGAAAACTCCATTTCAATTTCAGCAGTTTTGTCATGTAAAATGAATTTTGATTTTCATTATTGATAAAATTGCATTCTCACTTTTGAAGGAAAGGCCATATTTCAGCCTCGCCTTTGGGAATGAGAATCTCATTCAACAAAACAAAAAAGACATCCTCAAAATCTTTTTTTTCTCTTTGTCCAATGCTAACTCTCTTTGAAAGTGGTGTATATCTTTTACGAATCTAATTCTAATTCTTGTCTAAATCAAAGGAAATGATAGATGATTCTAATTCCAGAAGATTTCCATTCTAATTCTTATTCCGACATGAATCAAATGCACCCTTAGAGCATAACGGCAAGACAACCCAACCAATTTGTGACTATCAGCAGTAAAAAGAGAAAGAGGGGCGTTTCGATGGGAGGTAAGAAGTAAGAAACTCAAAAACTTGTAGAGTTTGATTTTTGACAAAACCTGGGAGTGATCACAATGCAAGGGGCGTTGGAGCTCTTCCTTGGAACCAGTGTTTGAAATTGCACCCTAGAGATCTCTTGTAGAGAAACCGTATAATTTTTTAAGGGAAAAATCTATGATATGGAAAAGATATGGTATGGAAAGAATTTTGACCAATCAAAATCCATCCATGAATTTTGATAAATCACTACATGTTCCTAATCAAGGTTTTGTGTTATTGGTCAGTTGTTTATATAGTCGAACCTTTTTTTAAGTTAATAACATATTGAGCGCAAATGGGATTTCCTACCCACTACTCTTTATCCACATTCTACCTGCCTTGAATTGCAGCCACACATCGCCACACCCTGTGAGATTGTACCGCTACAACGTAGTAGGTTGTAGGTAGAGAGAGAGTAGGAAATCTATCGACTCTTTGAGCGCTGATGAATCTAAGGCTTTTGTTGGTGAAGCCTGAAGTGTCTTCTTTTATTCTAAAGGTCTCTTCGATTATTTCTTCTTTTCCTATAGATCTTTTGTGTATCAAAAGAAGTCAATTCTGATGAATGAATCCATTTTCAAAAGAAAAGGAAATTATATATCTAAAATCTCCCCTCATTTTATGACAGTGTCTAAAGTTTCTCCCAAATACGTCCAGAAAAACCCCTGTTACAGGTTTTATAAATCATATACTTCTCTTACATTATGTTCTCACGAGAAACCATTTTCAAATGACAAGAATAATTCTAATCATATATTTTTCCTCTTGATCTCATCAATACCCCTACCACATGCTAACCATCTCTCTCTCTCAATCATACTTATTATTATATGAATAAAGAAGTGTTGAAGCACATTTATTTGGATGTTTTGGTATGCCCAAATCCAAATATTAAACTGAGTGGAATAATTGATCAAGACTCTCCATTTAATGTACAACATCTAATATTGATATTTCCTAATGGTTAAAAATTTGATACATTAATGGGTTCTTCATCAATGACATTTTGTTCATTTGTAAAACATCCATTATTTAAGAGTATTTGTGTAGGGGTCACAACAATCCGAGCTTTTCACAAACTGTTCAAGTTCGGCTCATAAAAAGTTCAGTTTGGCTCGGTTTTAGTCAAGCTTGAATTCGAGTTCGAGCTCAATTCAATAGTTCGATTATTAAATGAGTCAAGCTCGATCCTATTAGAGTTCGACTCGTGAGGCTCACGAGCCGGCTCGAATATATATATATATATATATATATATATATATATAAATATTATAATTATTAATTATTATAATTCTTAATTTTTTAAATATAAAATAAAAAAAAATTATATATAATTTTTATTTTTATAAAATATTTTTTTTAAATATTTTTATAAAATATAAAACGAGCCGAACTGAGTCAAGCTCGAGCTCAAAGTTCTGGCTCGAGCTCGAGCCTTGTAGAATAGTCTTGAACCGAACTCAAGCCTGATACTATTCAACTCGGCTCGGCTCAAATCCACCCCTAATTTTGAATATATTAAAATATTCAGTAATACACATATGAAATATGAACACCATGTGTGGTGGGTAAGTAGAGGAATTAATCTTGCACATTTTATTCCTGCCATTTAATGGAATATGTCTAACTGAAGGCTCAACCGGAGTTCAGATTTCTTCCTCATAAAAGTTTTTACACTAACACAATCTTTGCAGCCAACACATCGAGAAGAGGAAATTCGGATTCATTCTTGGAGGCATCTAAAAGTCAAGAAACGTTTTAAGCATTATCATTAATGTGAGGAGGTTTTAGATAATTCCCTTATAAAAGCTTAGTGAGGTAAAATCTTGTTTGATCACAACAAATAAGATTAATTTAAGGTTCCATCCAATCAACTAACACTTGTGGGACCCCATTTGGTTGGGAGTTGGGATTATCTCCCTTATTTTAGAATAAATATTAAATGATAAAGCCAAAACTAGGTGGAGTCCACACTTGACCCTATCATTGAATTTAAACCTTGGTTTATAGATTTGAGCATGCCCATTTGATTTGGACTTGTGCAGTTTGTCCCGTTCAGGCATATACCTAGAAAGCCCATCTCTAATGATAACACATCGGCTAAAATTTTGTGCCTAAACTGCTACATATTCATCAATTAGGGCAGTGAATCATTTATATATGACTAAGAGTAGTGTGTAATTAAGTATTAAACAGCTTTTAAAATAAAAGTATTAACTATAATCTTTGATGTTTGGTATTTGGATTGGGCAGCAATTCGGCTCCCCCCGTTACGTCAGATAAGTGAAACTTTTGATCCCATTATACCCCTTATGTCCCAATGGTAATCTTCATTATTCGAACCGAACACAGCAACGGCCATCTTCTTCTCTTCTTCATTCGAACCGAACACAATAGACACACTAGCGGCCAACGGTAATCTTCTTCTCTTCTTCATTCGAACCGAACACAGCAGCGGCCAATGGTAATCTTCTTCTTCATTCGAACCTAATACACCAGCGGCATCCCCGTCGTCTTCTTGCTCACCCCCTTCTTCCTCGTTCGAATCGAACGCAGCAGCGTCACCCCATTTGGCCAACTGTAATCCTCTTCTCTTCTTCATTCGAACCGAACACAGCAGCGGCATCCCCATCGTCTTCTTGCTCACCCCAGGCAAAACATCTTTGATCGTCGACTTCTGAGGGGAAGCTGACCGAACCAGCAACGTCTTCTTCTTCCTAACCGAACGCAGCAGCGTCTCCATCATCTTCTTGCTCACCCCAGGCGAAACATCTTCGATTGTCGACTTCTGAGGGGGAGCTGACCGAACCAGCAACGTCTCTGTCGTCTTTGGTTAGTCTTCTTTCTCATCCGAATGGAACACAACAGTTTCAGTTTCTTCCTCATTCGAACCGAATGCAACATCTTATTGACCGAAGCTAAAATTTCGAAGCTACCGCAACATCTTCTTCTTCCTCATTTGAACCAAGAGCTCTATAGCATCTTACTTACCGAAGCTAAATTTCGAAGGTCAAGCATTTTACCGCAACGTCTTTTTCTTCGTCATTCGCACAAAGACCGCCTGTGTTTCTGGCACAGTGCCTGTGTATCCGGTTCATTCTGGTTTGGCCACCCGTGCATTTACTTTGTTACATTTTTTTCCCTAATTGGTTGTCGTAAGGACCTATGTAAATGAATATTTGAATGTTAACTAATCTAAATTAAGTATTTAAAGTTGATTAAGATATGAATGTCCTGTGGGTTATTGAACATTTGTAGGTATGAATAGCCAATGGAGTGTCGGGAATGAATGTCCGAGTAGTTTACAATATGATACTAAGTATTGTTATTGCAAACGAAAATGTATCATCTGAATTTCTACAACTCGGAATAACCCATAGAAGTTATTTTATAGCTGTCGATTAAAATCCGAGGTAATATTTTTAGTTTGATGATATTATGATATAAGGCATGCATATTGCTAATGACATGTGTTGCACTTGCAGGAGCAGGTGTTTGATAGCCTAACAACTGAAAGCGATTCTATTGGTGGTTGCAAATTTTTGGAGTGGGCAATTCCTCGAGCTTGGTCCGATGAGGTTACATTGGGAAATCGTCATGGTGATGTTCTGGAATGCATTGAAAAAGTGGAGAGTGCAGTCGATGTTTGCATAAGGGAGATTGAGTTTATGAAATCAGTTCATGAATCAGCTACTAAAGTGATGGCTATAGTTAAACAACTTGTTTTTGTTCTTTTTGTTATTATTGTTCTGACATTGGTGTTTTGGAAATAGTTAGGTTTAGTGTTTTTAATATTGCGTTGAAAGACTTCTCCTTTTGTTTCCATGTTGGTGAACTATTTTTCTATCTTATTGAAATTATTTTGACTTTTTAAATATCAGTATATAAACATAAATTGCTTAAAAGATAATCTTTTCTTGATAAATAAGTATGTCTTAATTCAGCTAAGACACCTTCCGGCAAGAGGTAGAGAAGATCAGGCCCACCGAGTAGTCCACTGGATCAGTCCCCAGGCGATTTGGCCAATTCCAAGAAACGGTCCCAAAGGGGGGGGGCGTGGGGGTAGTCGGGCAACAGAACCACCTCCACGAGGTGGAGGGAGGTCCCCTATAAGTACCCAGATGAGGTGGGGATGCCTTGGTGTAATGGGGATGGCCGACAGTGGGAAATGGTGCTTTTGCAGAACCACCGTTTCCCACCGTCGGCCAGAGCCATCGGGTTGAAGGGCGATCGGAAGGTTTCGGGATGCTCAATGGGTGAGTGGCAGAAGGGGGGAGTGGGTTTGGTGAAAATCCCACCCCACCGCACCCGTTGGATTGGCCTCTGGGCGATTGGGACAATTCCCAAAAACGGTACCAGAGGGAGGGCACGAGGGTAGTCGGGCGGCGGAACCACCTCCACGGGAAAACGGTTGGTCCTGTACAAGTACCCAAATGAGGCAGATACACCCTGTGCCAACGGTGAAGGCCGACAGTAGGAAATGATGCTTTTGTAGAACAACCGTTTTCCACCGTCGACCCAGGCAATCAGGCCGATGGGCGATCGGAGGTGTTGGGATGCTTGGTGGGTGAGTGGCAGGCGATTCAACCAATTACCAGAAATGGTCCAAAAAGGGAGGGCGTGGGGCTAGTCGAGCGGTGGAACCACATGCACAGAGAGGGGAGAGGTCCCCTATAAGTACCCAAATGAGGCGGAGATGCCCCAAGCCAACGGGGAAGGCCGACGGTTGGAAACAGTGCATTTACAGAACCACTATTTCCCACTGTCGGCCTGGGCCATGTGCCGATAGGCGATCGAAAGGTATTGGGATGCTTGATGGGTGAGTGGCAGTAGGGGGAGTGGGTTTGGTGGCGATCGCAACCCTTCGCACCAGCCAGATCGGCCTCTGGGCGATTCGGCCAATTCCTAGAAACAGTCCGGAAGGGAGGGCATGGGGGTATTGGAGCGGTGGAACCACATGCATAGGGTGGGGAGACAGTGCTTTTTCAGAATCACCGTTTCCCACCGTCGGCCAGAGCCATCGGGTCGAAGGGCGATCGGAAGGTGTCGGGATGCTCAGTGGGTGAGTGGCAGAAGGGGGGCGTGGGTTTGGTGGAAATCCCACCCCACCGGACCCGTTGGATCAGCCTCTGGGCGATTGGGACAATTCCCAAAAATGGTACGGGAGGGAGGGCACGAGGGTAGTCGGGCAGCGGAACCACCTCCACGGGGTGCAGGGAGGTCCCGTACAAGTACCCAAATGAGAAGGACACGCCTTGGGCCAACGGGGAAGGCCGACGATGGGAAATGATGCTTTTGTAGAACAACCGTTTTCCACCATCGACCCGGGCAATTGAGCCGATGGGTGATCGGAGGTGTTGGGATGCTCGGTGGGTGAGTGGTAGGCGGATCGACCAATTACTAGAAACGGTCCAAAAAGGGAGGGCGTGGGGCTAGTCGAGCGGTGGAACCACATGCATAGAGAGGGGAGAGGTCCCCTATAAGTAACCAAATGCGGCAGAGACGCCCCAGGCCAACGGGGAAGGCCGATGGTTGGAAACGGTGCTTTTGCAGAACCACTGTTTCCCACCGTCGGTCTGGGCCATCGTGCCAATGGACGATCAAAAGGTATTGGGATGCTCGGTGGGTGAGTGGCAGTAGGGAGAGTGGGTTTGGTGGCCATCGCAACCCTTCGCACCCGCTGGATCGGCCTCTGGGCGATTCGGCCAATTCCTAGAAACAGTCCCGGAGGGAGGGCACGGGGGTATTGGAGCGGCGGAACTACATGCACAAGGAGGGGAGAGGTCCCCTATAAGTACCTAGATAAGGTGGAGACGCCCTGGGCCAACCAGGAATGCCGGCGGTGGGAAACGATGCTTTTGCAGAAAAACCGTTTCCCACCGTCAACTCGGAACATTGGGCCGATGGGCTATCGGAAGGTGTCAGGTTGGTCGGCAGGTGAGTAGCAATAGGGTGAGTGGATTTGGTGGAAATCCCACCCGTTCGCACCCACTGGATCGTCCTTCGGGCGATTGGGCCAATTCCAATAAACGGTCCTAAAGGGCGGGCGCGGGGGTAGT